ACTCACAGTTACCTAACTTCACACATTTTAATCACCCAATACGCAGTGTTGAACATATCAACGGAAGTAGTGGGTGGGACCCCGAGTGTGAGTATTAGCTTAGTGTTGAGGTAAAAAAATAAGTTCAAAAATAATGCCGCATTTCTTAAAAGGTTCATTAAAATTCAGTGGCTATAAGGGCCGTTAAGTAAAGGATTCACGCAGGTAGCTTTATTTACTGGTGGTGTATAGTTCGATAAATCATCTTAAATGCCACCCAATAAAAAGCATCTTTGGTATTTCAGTTATAAACATTAGGAACGAATTACTCTCTGTAGGGTGGATCCGTCAACTCGCCTTTTATTTCAATTTAAGTTGTTGTCTATCAAAACTTGTAACTGAGCTAAACTCTATATCTAATTAATTTTGTTTTGTAAATGCAGTTAAAATGCACACTTTGACTCTATTCTGTTATTTGTGTATCTGTCTGCTACTCGAAAGTTAAGGGAGAGTGAACACAAACACTTAAGTTAAAATGAGATAGTGGCGGTTGCAAGACCGCACTTTTTTTTTTTTCACTTCTAGCCTGCAAGTAGAAGTGTTCAGACCACAACATCAAAGTTACAGAACATACAGCTTGCAGCAAGCGAGTTTCTCTCTGAGACAGATATATAGAGTACTGGCATAAAAGGGTACTTATTAGCAGGCGTCGAAAGTTCAGCATGCACTCAACATATATTGGAACTGATGAGCTTCTTTTGGAAACTATGAAAATTATTTTTTTTTAACCTCTCAGTAGTTTTAGAAACGAAAGACGTATTCTGGACATGAGTTAACAGCTATAATAATACTGTAAAATATTATTGCATATTATTAAAATAAAGCTTTCTAAGGTTACCAGGCTAACCCTAGTTCTCTGAAATTCAAGTGAGATTTTTTTTTTTATCTATGGGAAGCACCTTCTGTGATTGGTCATGCCATACGACGCTTCCCATAGTCAGATGTGAAAGAGAAGAACATCTACTTAGACAAAAATGATTTTTTTTCCTGTCAGTGTCACCAATCCACCAGTGAAAGAATTATAAACAAAGGAAAGCTGGAGCTGAGGCGGCAAAGCATTTCACCATTCATTCCTCGTAAGACTGATGGCCTGTTTGTGGGCTCCTAATACCTAAGTGTTTTTTAGCAACTCCAAATTTTAACACTTACATTTTGAACTATTAATCGTAAATGGCCGATGAACCCCTCTGGAGTGCACTAGATTGGAGAGGTGGTAATTCATTTGGTCAAAAGTGTGCACTTTTATTGAAAGTTAGTCAGGATCCAGCATGAACCTTTGAGAGTGACTGTTAACAAGTCTAATATACACTGTCTGTGAAGGTTCGCAGTCATCCAGGTTATTGGATTTATTTATTTCTTTATTGTTTAAAGAAAACATCTGGACTTCTTTAAGTTGCTTGATGATGCTTCACCTTCTTCAGTTCTAAGGTTAAATGGTAGAGTCCCAGATATAAGCCCTATGGGAGTGTCCCCCCCAAGAGAGAAATAGACCCGCTAACAATCCTCTAACTAATCACACGAGCCAAGGTGTGAAAACGGGTGTAGGTCACAATCACCCAAGGTTTCAGGTGTTCACCTGAAACATTGTGAAACCTAGCCCCACCCTATCATGTGATTTCCTGATATCAAAAGGCCCAGGATGTGAGTGGGCGTTAAGGCATCTGGGAAGGGATCTCAAAACTTGATTATAGATGGCAGACAGTTGGTGTCATAAGCCACCGCCTCTGTTCAAAGAGGGTGGTTCACAGTGGACATAGATGGCTCCTTTGACTCCTCTTTTCAAACCATATACACTGAGCAAAATAAGTATTGAACACGCCACCAATTTTCTAAGCAAATGTATTTCTAAAGGTGCTACTGGCATGAAGTTCTCAACAGATGTTGGTAACAACCCATCAAATTCACACATGCAAAGAAATCAAACCTGGAGGGCAGCCATAGATGGCCAGTTAAGGTATGTGTAACAATGAGAAATGACAAAGGAAAAATGTATTTAACACATGAATAAAGGGTGATGCAAAAAGGCACAGGAAGTCATGATACCAGCTCAGATCTGTGGTTTGATGGTCTGATTTCTATGCTTGAGTGGAGTCGATGGGTTGTTATCAACATCTGGTGAGAATTTAATGTCAATAGCACATTTAGAAATATATTTACTTAGAAAATTGGTGACATATTCAATACCTGTCTTAAATGCTGTAATTCCATATAACCTGAGGTCAACGTGCCTTTTATTAAAAATTCAAGTTCAAACTAAAAGTGAGGATTGTCTCAGATTTCAAGGTAATGTAGAGTACTCCTGCCAAATTTTGAGTTTGTACAAATAAACAAGATACATGGAGTTTATAAACCTTTCTTCTGTTGATGTGAATAATGCATGACACTGAAGGATATTTTAGTAGCACTTAGCTTTCACACTAACTCCTCAGCACTTCACGGTGCTGTGCTGAAAGGGTGGAGAGAGGCGTTGGTTGGTGTGACCCATTGGAGGATAGCGTAATAGTCACTGCTGTATTTGAACTGGGACTTATTGCTTACTGTCCTCTCACTTCTTGTGTACATATGCTATATTGCCTAATCACACATCTGCAACCCAACACTAAACTGCTAATGTTGGGAGGGTAACATCAGCATGCCTGTGTACCAAGCTGCTTAACTAAACTCCACAGATACAACACACAGGGAAACATCTGTGGTGATTAGAGGTAATTCAGAGGAAAATACTAGAAATTCACTCTTGAAAGGTGAAGCACAAACTACTTGGACAGGCCATGTGTCAGATAATTCCATTAAAAATGCTCCCAAGGGCACCAACACCATCGACAGAGGTCCAGTTCACTGACTTTAATTAGTGCAAGTAAAGCCAGGACGCCTGTCAATCAAAGCAACCACGCCTCTTACTCCAGTATCCAGAAGTATGCGTTACATTTGGCATTTTAATTTGTTTGGTTTGTTTGTTTGGCAGTTGACTCACTTTTAGACTCAGCCTCAAGTTTTTGGCACTCATGTTGGCTTTATTTTTCAGCCCTGGAAGTTGCCGCTAGGCGTTCACACGCAGCTCTCTTGGGTGTTGTCTATAAAAGTTCAGGGCACATGCAGTGCATATGAAAAAGAATCAGATGCCACTCAAGCATTGATTAAGTCGCTAGAGATTTGTTTAAGTGAATTAATTTGTAGCCGTTGTTCACCTGTTATTCCAGTCAAACCTTGTTAACTAATTAGTGTTGTGATAGGCGTTAGTAAGTGAGAGTGACAGAAAGTGGATCATTACTCTTAGCAAATGGGTCCCATTTGTAGCTAGACTTAAGGTTCATAAGTGGGCAGTGCATGGCACTTTTAAGGATGCTGGGTCAGCTGTCCGAAGCACAAGCATCACAAGTAAAGTAAATACAAAATTAAATCACATTTTAGTCACAGAGAGGTGGAAAGCAACTTTATCACAAACCACATTTGTAAAATGAAAATAGCAAGACCCCAAATCAACAAAAGTATGGTCTAGTTGTGGTCTTGGAAAATGAGTAGTGGTCTCTAAACCACTTCACCACTCTTGCAAAATGATTTATTTATTCATTTATTTGCCTTCTCTGGCGTTGGCCACCTGCTTCAAATCCACTCCACCTTGACAAGAGAGAAGTAGCACTCCAGTCATCAGAGATGTGTACAGGTTTGCGTCTTTGTGGAGATGCATTCATTTTGCAGCATGGTAATGAACCTAAAAACCCCTTTGTGAGCAGTACTTGAAAACCAAGAAGTGCTGATTGTCACAGAGTTTGCTCCACAGACTTGCCAACTGAAGCTTTTTTTGGATGCTAATGTTCAGTGGTTTTTTTGTGTGTTTCAGGATTCTCTTCTTTGCATCCCCAGTGTCTTCCTTTCCTCTGCTGCCTCTGAAGTCATGGATTAGCCCACCGTCTGGTCCTGGCAGTTCTGTGGGTCATCAGATGGCTTCTCAACAACCCTCAGCGAAAATACAGAATGTATGTTTCACCACCTAGAGAGAGAAAGTTGCATCACATCATCAATGTTGTCACATTCAGCTGGTAGATGACAATAATAACATTGGCTGGATATGGCTGTCATAGACACCCACTTTGTCAAAAACACATCAGTGAGCAGCACTTCTGCAGTGGGCATCTTGTTTCCTTGAGTGATGGGCATGGGTACTATAGTTGATTTCACTTCCAGCCTTCTCTGTGTGACGTCCATTCACATGTTTCACAGAGCAAAAACCTCACCATCAAAACTGTAAATAACAGAACAGTTATGCATGTTATATGTCACTACCTTGAGTCAGCTTTCTTTTGATAGGCTGCCTCTTGCATACAGAAGGTTTAAACAAGCAGGCAGGTGGGGCTTCTGTGTTCTTAGCAAGAACTGTGCCTCAGATCATTGTATAAGGAATATTATCTCTCTGACACTGTGGGATTACCTATCCAGTGCTGACCACAGTATTTGAAACTTTGGCCATGGTTAACATGATTATCCACCACTGTAATGCTAAATCTATGGAAGAAAATAAGAAACGGCGTGTAAGATCCACTTTAAAGTGGAAGTAGTGTTTTACTGTTTCATGGCAGTTGATCAAGCTGGAGATAACTTGACCGCTTTGATGTGTACAATGTCACAATAGGGCACATTTTATACACTTATGGTAAGACGTGTACACAGAACACTTAACAGAAAAGTGTTGGAAGTGATGTGCTTTCTGCTTCTGCAAAAAGGCGAGGGTCTCCTCAGGTCAGAGTCAGACATATATGGTCATCACAAAGTGTACACAAAGCTCTGCATTAACTTTTGTGTAGCTTCGGTTTTTTGTTATGCGAGCACAGATCTCCACAGGTTTGGAGGTTTTCAGGGAAGTACCGTCCAAGTACTACCTCTACTACAAGTCCCATTTTTTACAGTTTATATAACGATATAAATCAAAGTAAAGTAAAGAGAAAAAAACCTGTTTAACAACAGCAGCGAAATGATTGTACTCATTTACATTCCAAAACTGCTTACTCCTGAATTTACACTGATCTATATCTGGATATTACAGTTTGAAGGAAACGTTACTGGTCAGTTTTCCAAAGTAGTTCATCCATATTCTACAAAAATGACCCTGAGAGGTACAGAAGTTGCATTTGAGTTTCAGTCCTTTTGCTGCATTTGTCAACTTGCCTTCACATTTTGCAGAAGTGTGAAAAAGCCAACAGAGTTGGTGACTAACAGGAAGCTAGATAGACCTATAGTTATTATGGCCCACATGTTTTTACATCAAGTAGAAAAGCATACATTTGGGTGTTTGACTCATAATTACCTCCCACAGGGAAAATGACCTCAGTAGTGCTGCTCTTATGGGAAAAGATGAGACCCTGGCTTCTAAAGAATCCGCTCTCTCTCATTCCTTCTCCACCGTTCGTCAAAGATTTTTCCTTTGCAAAGCGTTATTGATACCCTGATAGGCAGCCTATTAATCCATATTGAGCCCTTAGAGTGTAATTACGCACACAATTGGTGCCTCTTAAGTCCTCAAAGAAGATAAATATCTCACAGACTGCGTTCAAGTGGGATTCATGGCTGAAATAAAAAGTTTGCCTGTTGGTTATAAAAAAGAAAATGTCCAATTTCAAGTACGTAAAAAGCCAAAATTCTAAACGTTGGCTCATAGCTTTATTATAAATGTTCACAGTCGAACACTGTAAATGTTGCATTTCCTGTTTCTCTCGGTACAATAATCTACATTCAACACAATGCACACTAAGTAGGTCAGCTAAACTAAAGCTTAAGTGCAGCTTTAACTCATTAATAATGCATATGACAAAGACTGAAGTTGTTGGGTCTTGAAGAATGATTTTTCCAAATCTAATGCCAACAATCAAAAAGCACTCAAGTTATATTCTTTTATGTCTCGTGCCTTTAATTTCCATGTGCTGATAATACTGACTGAGGGGACACTTTGAAATAAAACATTTTCTGTAGTGCTCAGCAAACGATGCCACGATATTCCGCTGTCCCTCGTTATGCTTTTTGATTATTTCACTGGTTTTCTGTAACCTCGGAAGTGGGAGTGTCTGCCGGCCCACAAAGCTTATCCGAACCCTGATGGAAAGTCCAGTCCATGTGGCGCACTTGGAGCTAGCGCTTCTGTCCTGCTTGCCTCTCTCATGCGTGGGCAGAGTATCTGGATGGCTCTCACTCCTCTTAAGGTCAAAGTTTCACATCTGAACTGTTCTCCAACCTCTGGTCAGTACACAGAGGCCTGGTGTCGGAGCTCCAGCCTGTAGGTGTTTGTTTCTTCACTGACAATGCTCTGAGCTCAGCTTCCCCGTCACCCACACAGAAGAAAGGGGAATGAAAGCTATGCGTGGACTCATTCATTCCATAGACCGAGGGAGTGAGTTTGCGTGCGCAGTTGTTATTTATGACCTAACAAGGCAATGTTTGTTGATGATTAGAGCTCGGGTGTTATAGCCATGATGTAAAAATCTCATCACACTAAATAACATCACACTGAATCACACAACTACACTAATAGTCAGAGGCATCCTTCCTCTGTCTACATCAATAATATCCGTATATTGATGTGTTCAGATACTGGATCATACCCAAAGACCACAGGTTGACACTCAGTGGCAGGAAGAAGCTCTGTGTTGTTATGTTCATGGGCAGTTGGCCAGATTCTTTGGGCACAAGCAGGTGAGTCCTGGTTGTGGTTTTCATATTGCATCTGTGATGCTGGTTATTATGTTGTGACTGTTAGAAGAGGCTGGGAGGAGTGCTGGGAGTTGAGTGCTCTTCACATTACTATGAACTATGCTCTATAAAGCATTGCACACCAGTACAAGCTGGCTTGGGCTGCTGGCTAGGATTAAAACGAGGCAGCGGGGCAGTCTCTTCTCAAAGGGGTTAGTGAGGAATCCGTTTTTAAAGGTGTGGCCGATGCTGTTGAACAGTGTGTTTAAAACCTGCTTGTGTTTTTCTTTGCCTTTTTTTTTCCATATTCCACCTCAGATGAGAACGTGAAGGCTGGCGTCCACCAAGGCCACCGCTGCACCTTGGGCAGCACACACACATGATCACATGACTCTGGACATGGATGCGGTCCTGTCAGACTTTGTTCGGTCCACCGGGGCAGAACCAGGTCTGGCAAGAGACCTGCTGGAAGGTAAGAGATGACTACGCGCTCTTTTCTTGCGAAATCGAAATATTTATATGTATTGTTTTGATCGGCTGCTCCCAGTTATGCCATGAGCAGAGAAGAGGAAATAAGCGGAACGGAAAATAAAGAAAACAGAAGACGGGCGGAGAGGAGAGGGGCCTGCGTCGGAGAGCAAGCTTGCTGATTTAGAGGCCAGTGTGACAGTTTTACGAGGGCGCTCCCCAGAGAAAGCTTTGTGCCCATTCATTGGAACTCATTGAGGAGCACAGTGTTACTGGCACTTGTATAGCTTGGGTGCAGCTCCAAAAAAAAAAAGACGGACAGCAAAGTGCACACGGCCTCAGAAAGCTGATTTATAGCTGGTTGAATCAGCTTCAGTAGATATATATGTTGTGCGTTTCTACTCTTCGTTCGTCCACAGGAAATTCTGTGATTTCATCTAATTTAGCATAAAGCGAAGCACACTGAACCATAAGTGCAAACGCATTCTTGTCTGCTTTACAGGAATAAATGCGTGCACCACAGTAATCAGGCATCCATTAGGGTGATGAAATCCTCGTGGAGTGCTGGCAGCACGCGTGTGTCCTGGAATTTTTTTTTTTTGTCTGGGTGTATATAGTACATCCAGTTTCATCTCTTCGGATGAAGAGTGAGAGTTTTGAGCGTCCGATTCTCTGCTACTGTCAGTGTTTTTTCCTGATTCTGGTTTGGCACTTAACCTCGGTGGACTACACGTGACACTCACAGACACCAAACAAGACAGTGCACTCAGACAAGGCAGACAAGAGCCTGGATGAGCTGTTTCAGTATTGTGCTTTGGTCTGATGTTGTCTTAGCTTTAGAGGCTTGAATCAAACAGCTGCTCTATGACCCTGCGGTCTGAATCAAGTTGGTGTGAAAAGACAGAGAAACATGACAGAGCACATGTGGTGCTTCCCCCTAGAGGCCTGTTTAAGTACTGAATCTACACTGTTGAATTGGTTTGGGGCCTTTATTGTATTCAGATTGGGATGTACGTTCATACTGCATGAATTTATTTGGGTTTTTGTTTTGTTTTTTTTGCAGACGACAGGCATTATAAATGAAAGCGTTGAAACAGTGCTTTCCAAACCAAAGTTAATAGCAGGCTAATGTGGAAGCTTTTAAAGACTGAGTGGCTGTGCAGCTGGACCAAAAGTTGTATTCCTGTATTTGTGTAGCTCAAGATACCGAGATCTATAGAGCGAAATAAGCTTTGCATTGATTGATGTGAGAGACAGCGATTAGTGGTGTCAGTTTTCATATCCAGACGCTTCGCAATCATCGTGTCTGGAAGTCAGCAAGAGAGGACAACTTCCTGCAGGTCGTTTTTTACAAAGGGATTCCATTAATGGACTCTGACTCACGAACATGCTCCGATTACACGAAGACACACCCGTGGGTTTTGAAATGACTGGTTTGCAGAGAGTTCCTATGGCATTGTTAAAAAATATCACACTGTGGTATAATAAGACTGAGACTTGACTCGTGTCTTTAAAGCCTTGAGGGGATTTCTGTTAGAGAGACAGCACCCAGAGGAGACAACTGTGTCTCTGCATGTGTTGCCAGTATGCGTGTGGGTCTCTTTGTGGGTCCCTCCTTGCACATCAGGATATTGCTGTCATAATGTTAATGGATCTGCTTCCCTTCACTGTCTTTATAACCTCAATATCCAAGTCTGTATTTTACGTGAAGCAGCGTGTTTTCCTCGGGCAAAAGCACTGTGTGACTTTGCTCCATATGGATGTTGTATCGTTATAACTGAAGCTCATTCTTTAAAAATTTCAAGATATGGGAATTTGTTGGAATTTATCTGTGCTAAATGATTTATGTGGCTTATCTGCAGCATACTCAGCAGCTTTTTGCATTCTGTCCCAGGGTTTCCCTTTACTTCCCACAATAGGTAGCATAGGTAGCGTTTTTACCATGAGATAACCCTGTTTACTGTAAGCTGTAGTTAAGAGTGTCTTGTTGTGAATGTTGGCTCTTTTTTTTTCTTTGAGAAAAGCCTTTTTTAAAAAATAAAAAATGTGTGTGTGTGTGTGTCCTCCAGGTAAAAACTGGGACCTCAGTGCTGCTCTAAATGACTACGAAGAGCTCAGACAGGTCCACACTGCCAACCTGCCGCAGGTCTTTAACGAGGGCCGCTATTACAAACAGCCAGAGACGCGTGACACGCCCACCCATGTCAGCAAGATCGACAGACCGTGTGCACAGAAGCAGGAGGACAATGCACAAGGTAGCCAGGCCACCTTGTGACCATCGCCAAGATCCAAAGAAATCTTTTTCTTTCATCTTTCAGTTTGCTTTCCGCTCGTCCCTTCACTTTTCATTTGTCTGTCATTTTCAGAGAAGCGTCTCTCGCGTGGAATCTCCCATGCCAGCTCTGCTATCGTCTCCCTGGCACGGTTGCAGGTGGCTAGTGAGTGTACCAGCGAGCAGTTCCCTCTTGAGATGCCCATTTACACATTCCAGCTACCGGACCTCAGCGTCTACAGCGAAGACTTTAGGAGCTTCATAGAAAGAGATCTGATAGAGCAGTCAACCATGATGGCTTTGGAGCAGGCTGGTGAGTACTGTAGGATGTTATACATTCACTTAAAGTCCTTCTGCTCCTACTGATATGGGATACGTGCTTTTCCCCATATTCTCAGTTTAGTGAGAATAAAATGTTCGTCTAACAAAGCAGTAGCAGTGAGAAAATGCTCTGAAAGTCAGTGAAGCAGACAGATGTAGAGGGCTAGACTGAAATTAAGACAGAGAGACTGAGCAAATCAGAGTAGCAGCATCATCTGGAAGGGAGATGACAACAGCTAATTCAAAGCATCCGGGACCCCAAAGGATTCATATCCCAGCCGACGCTTTGAACTACGGAGAGAAACTAGTTAGAGAAGTTTCCAATCTTCCTGCAGACTTTTCCACACCAGGACTGCAGAGACTGTAAAACCTCCTAAATTTGATTCTGTTCAAGGTCTGCGAACACTCAGCCAGAGAAATATTGGGTCAATTAACCGTTAACACATAAATAGGACAGAATCAGTCTCTTTATAGTTAAATATTTAGATAAACACAAGATTTATCTGACCTCTTGTGAAAAAGTGAAGGATTTACTGCTGCAAATTTACTCTAAACTTTATAAATCGCAGACTGTGGGTACCAAAGCTTAGCCACTACTATAAAGTGCATATCTCTGCAATTAGGAAAAGGTACAGTAAAGTACAACCAGTTGTGAATTAGCCTTTCTTCATGGGTGGTTGATTCTCAGCCGTAATATTCCATGTGCAGGGCACATGTATTACTCTTTGATGTAATGTCATAAAAAGCGCTGATAAGTCTAGCTAGTCCAACTTTCTAGACAATTAACGAATATTTATTGTGAGAAATAAAATCAGGAGCTGCAAATCGAGAAAACATCTGCATTCTGAGCCCATCCACACTGAGGGGTAAATCATTCAGACGCTTTTCTGTGTTTAATGTTGTTAAATAAATGATGCAGTCAGATCACCCCGGCTCAGAGCAGTGCGGCTAGCTGCAGTAAAGCATTGTGTGGTGCTCAGGGCTGTGAAACAGTCGTCTCTCCCTCAGGGATGCAAGCACGGCTATGATGAAGTGGAAAGCTGTAGATACTGTAAAAGTTGGGCTGAGGAGGAACTTGTTTTAGGGAGACGTGCTGGTTTTGAAACAAATTGTGCTTGTTGGAAAAACTGTGTGTTTTCTTGCCTCTGTGATGTAATTAATAAGTGTATTTTCTGACATCCTCATGTTGCTCTCGCTGTTGTGCGCAGGTCGTCTGAACTGGTGGTCTACAATGTGCACCAGCTGCAAGAAGCTGCTCCCTCTGGCCACCACAGGGGATGGGAACTGCCTCCTGCATGCTGCCTCGTTGGGTGAGTTATTCACTATTCATAATTTACGCTTGAATCAAAAACCCGGTAATAATGGAGCGCTTCTCTAAGCGTCAGCTGTGCGAGCTGGTGTCATGTCTATCTAAAAACCATGTCAGTGCTGCAGAGCAGCTGCTGAATATAAGAAATAGTCTGCGAAAGATGGAACTGGAGAAAGCCAAGGAAGCAAGGAAGGGAAGGAGGAAAGTGACCTATACACTGCAGGAGACTTTCAGCCGTAGGGCTTAAGAGACAACGCCATATTCAGGTATCTGCTGAAAGAGGTGGTTGACTCCTCAGTGTGAGGACTGCTAGCAGCACAGGGTTAGGCGCACTGGAGTTAATGCAATCTACTGTGTCTGTCAGACAACTGAGGCTGTTTGAGGAGTGATGAAGGACATTTTTAATAAAAAGCCATGGTCACCTCTGAATGATTTATCAACATAATCTTGTTTTGTATGTAATGGCCATATTGTTTCATCTCCTCCGTCCTACCATTCAACAACATGTCATGTGTGTGCATTTATCAGGGATGTGGGGCTTCCATGACAGAGACCTGATGCTGAGGAAGTCTCTGTACACCATGATGAAGAGCGGAGCGGAGAGAGACGCTCTGAAGAGGAGATGGAGGTGGCAGCAGACGCAACAGAACAAGGAGGTAGGGAGAGTGCATCCTCTTTCATTAATGACATATTATTAAATCCATATGAGCAAGCAAGCATTAGATGAGCCGCAGTTTATAGTCTCTGATTTTGCACTTTTCGATTTTTTTGCTTTGATAAAAAATGATCTTTCCACGATCGCAAGCGTGCATTAGTAGCAGTGCCGCTAATACTGTCAAATCCTCTACATTTCCTCCATTTTCTTGATATTCATGTATTAAAGAGTTTTAAAATCTATTAGAAAAACGGTGTCACCAAAGATAGCTCAGCCCTAAGAAGTAGTCCAGATGCTCATGTTTTAAAAACGCCCAAGGCGTCCTGGTGGCCCAGTGATCTAAGATGCATCTCATGTAACGCAGCGTCCTGGTTTGCGTCTGGGCACGGAGCATTGTTTCATGTCAGCCACCTGTCTCTAATTACCCGTATCTCCTGACTTTCTCTTTTACCAAACACTCATTAACAGTGGAAATATGACAAAATGTCCACAAATGCAAGCTGCAATGGCAAAAAATGGACTGTCTGGGTGAACAATGTGCATATTAATCAGAATTTCCTTTTCTTTGCTTTTTTTTTTCTGCAGTCGGGGCTGGTGTACACCGAAGAGGAGTGGGAGAAAGAGTGGAACGAACTGCTAAAGTTGGCCTCCAGCGAGCCTCGAACTCACCTCAGCAAAAACGGGAACACCAGTGGAGGGTACGGGCTTACAATCGAGCCCACAAGCACATTCAATTTTCCAGACACATTACCACTGACCAAAATTCAGCAAAAGTTGCTCCTGAATCACTGCATAAAATGAACGGAATGAAACGGAAAGGCAGTAGCGAGCAGTGCCGTTTTAATCCTACATTACAACCCTGCTCCTTTGTTTCCTAACCCTGTGTGGTGAAGCGCTGCACAAAGCCCACAGCTAAAACAAAAGTGACCTTCTCAGTAAAATCAATTTGTCAGGGAAACTCATTGTTTCCACTTGGACAGTTTCTCTTCAGAACCTTCCTCCCTTTAATAACATTGCTGAAGCTAACGCGTGAAACTGCGCCATCTACTGGCTGTCGTCAGTATTAATCATCTGAGCTGTGAACCTCCCCTGAGCTGTGGGTTACTTTTAGCTGCAGAAAGCTGCATAAATAAGCGTAACGCAGGGTTTATCTCAGGCTACAGAGGCAGATTTGAAACGTACTCTGGTTTCCTCCTCCTACGCAGAGAAACTTGTGGTTTTGTCTCTGTTTCCATATTCACTGAAATAAACATACATACCTTCTCATGTAGGTGCTCGCTATAGTGAAGTGAAAACCGCTCTGACGGACAGACAGGCTCATCACGGTGTCTGCTGAAATACATACAGTGCCATTTAAGGAGGCTGCGGTTATCTGTGCTCGTCATCACTAACTTTTGTTTCAGTTGTAAGTGAAATGTAAAAAAACCCCAACAACAACAAAAAAAACCCTCCTTGCAAACTGTTTCTTTGTGAGTGCAACATCTGAAAACAGCACAGTTTTTCTGTGTTATTTCTCATGTTGGTGCAATGCCGTCCAGTGCTGAAAAATTTCTGTTAAAGGAAATCATTTCCTCATTTAATCTGGTGTTTTTAAGCTCTCATTGAGGTTGACTGTGATACGGTAATCAGGTTAGAGATGTTTGATGGTCCTAGTGTGAGATGAGGCCCTAAATAGGATGAGTGGGATCGCATATTAAGAGGCTCTTTATTAGAGTGAATTTGGCAGCGTGGCTGTTTGTGTGGCTGACAACTTAATTGTTGTACATCCTCTGGTTCCCTGGTGGCTGCATGCCTGAGAGCTATGGCTCTCCCTTCCCTTTTCTCGTTTTCCTCTCCTGCTCTCTTTTACTGAAACACATGTATGACAGGATGGGCATCGTTGTCCTGTCTGTTAAAGCGAGCCAAATGGGAAATGGATTCAAGCGGATCAGATTAGGCATATGATTGGCATGGACATTTGCTATTTTGGCTGGCCTCAATACAGAAGCAGGAAATTGCTACAGTGTTGCAGTGTGTAATGTAATGTTTTTGGGGTTTTTTCCCTTCAGGGTGGATAACTCAGAGGATCCGGTCTATGAGAGTCTGGAGGAGTTCCATGTGTTTGTGCTGGCCCACGTGCTACGCAGGCCAATTGTAGTGGTGGCTGATACAATGCTCAGAGACTCGGGAGGAGAAGGTAGACTTGAACGCATGTCGACTCGCTCCTCTGTGGTACAGCAGTTCAAGCGATAGAGTGAAACTAAATATGGTTCTCTATCTGAATTCCAGCGTTTGCTCCCATCCCGTTTGGAGGGCTCTATCTGCCCCTCGAGGTGCCCCCGAGCCGCTGTCACTGCTCCCCACTGGTCCTGGCCTACGATCAGGCGCACTTCTCCGCACTGGTGTCCATGGAGCAGAGAGACCAGCAGCGCGAGCAAGGTAAGAAGATGTCCAGCAAAAAACCAAAAACCGCTTCTATACCCTGACAGAAAGAGCCGACGGCATCCTCAGGTGGGAATCTTTAATGCAAAACCTTTTCTTGACCTCCTGTTCATGAAAATTCAAGGTTTTTGCTGACAACATCTGCAGTAGTTTGACAGCCATTGCTTTTAACTTGGTGGGTGGAGGACTGCGAGAGGGAAGGCGAGTGGTCTGCCTGTCCTGCTAGAGGTGAATAATGTATGAGACAGCAGTCTAATTACTCGTGATCCATTATTTAAACAGGCCAGTTGGCAGCAGGAACCAGAAAGTGGCCAACATGCAGGAAAGTGGACAGCACGCTTCTTCTTCTTATTAGGAGCTGACCGAATAATTCGAAGCTCACCTGCAGTCACTGTTGTGAGTTTAATTTGTCAGAGTAGGGGTGTGTGTTTATATGTGCGCCTCTTTCACAGGAATTTGTGACACGGTGCTGTGCAGAGCATATTGATTGTGTTATGTTGTGGTAAGGAAGTGTGGATTGTCCCTTGTGTTGAGCAAGGCTTGTTTTGTTCACTCAGATGCCAGCGTTCCCACTCTGGGTGCGTTACTCGCTCTTGAGGTCAGAGCATTTCTCACACGGACGTCTTTAATTGATAAACAGAGTGGATCTCCCTGACAACCAGTCTTAGTAGTCACGGCACTCTTCTGTATCTGACTCAGTGGGTGGAACTCACGTGTCATTTGCGGGGGCAGCTGGCTGACTCCGTCTCTGTCTCTTTTTCTCACTCGCAAGCGAACAAGCAGTTTCATTCTTCCTCTTTCCTCTCTCTCTCTCTCTCTCTCTCTCTCTCTCTCTCTCTCTCTCTCTTTCTCTCTCTCTCGTGCTTTTTTGAATATTCAAGTTCCTAATCTGGGTCATCAAACACCAACCTAGTTATTAAGTCCGTCTATGACCACTGCAGGCTAGCAGACAGACATGATTACTAACCTGCCATTCCTGCCCTGCAGTCATTCCCTTTAATGCCCCAGCAGCACATCAAAGCCAGTCCACCCCACAGTCGAGAACTACCGAATACTTACACTAGTGTTTGGGGATTTAGCGGGCTGATGGATTCTCTTCTTGTCCACCAGATGGTGCATATACCCAAAAAACACACAGCAGCCTGATCACAACACCACTGCGTGGCTGTACTTTTTCCTTCTGGTACAGAGTGTACTGCGATAGGATCAGAAAGTGTTTCATCTGCAGTCTTTCTCCAGTATGCCATGTGATAACTCGTATTGCATGGCTCTTATACAATTTTGGACTGCTTTCATTATGAGTGTCAGCATCTGCAAATGTGTTATGCATATTTCCCTTTTATGCACACATTTTTATAACGTGCGTCTGCATTTTAATAGAATTTGTAAATTTCTCAATGCAGTACTGTGCGGCCGTGCTGGTTCATATCTCTGTACGGCTGCCAGACAGACAGGCGGTCAGTCTGACTGACAGACCTAATCTTCCACTGCCAACTAGGGCAGAGCCAGACCCAGCCAGCCCCGAAGACCTCACCACATCACCACATATGGGCAGGGTCCCGGGATGCTTGGGGCCCCAGCAAACCAACCCGCTCTTCTGACAGTAAGGCCACTGTGTGGACGTCTCAGGTGGATGCTTACTCTCAATTTCCCCCTTCCACAGCGAAGAGCATCCGAGGGTCTCTTGGCCTTGTGTGTGTTCAGGTGTCAGGGACTGGGTTAGAATAGTGGCTCTTTATTCCGCCCTCTGTGTGGAAGATTATAGTGGAGTCCTTCCTAGTAACCTGACTCTAAATCACCCTGACAGATCATGCTTCTGCTCCTTTTATAGCATGCCTGCATGACTTCTGGGGTTGCACTGATGGCGGATGAAAAAACAACACGTGAGGAGTGACTGAAGCCAGAGGTTATTGCAGTTTTGTTAAGGGTTTTTTTTTCCCTTTTTTTCCCCCCCTCAGGAGTCAAGTGGTTTGCTTGGGTGAGAAAGTCAGGTGAACCTAGAGACCTGTGCACATTTCTATGGTTATCAGCTGTGTAATGATGACTAGCTCCTCAGTAGATGCCATTTGCTGTCTTTCATCATTTTGTTTGTGCTTCTGTGGCTAAAAAATCTATGAGAGGAACTGACCCTCTGGAAAACTCTGGAGCTATTTCAAGCTCTGCTCCTAAAACCAAAACACTTCCAGGTTTTCTTTGGCATCACATCATCACACTTCTAACACTCTCTTGAATGAAAAGTAAATAGACAACTTTTATGCAAAGACCACCTACAAAACAGTGTCATTTAACTACACAGCTTCTCTCCAGATTCACATCTATTAAAAAAGGACAGTATACAGTACTGTGAAAAAGTCTTGAGGCACCGTCATTTCTTTATATTTGCGAAGAAAATGGGAAATACGTAGGTGCAGTGACGTATTGAAATATGTGCAAACATACACGGAAATACAGTATAGCTATAAAGGTGTGACCACCTTTATTCTTCAGCACAGCCTGAACTCTCTTAGGCAAGCTTTCTCGTAAAAAGTAGTCTTCAGGAATAGTTCATTCAAAGCTGGTCTTTGGATGTTTCCTGCTTTTTCTTCTGCTCTGTCTAGATGATCCTACACTGCTTCAATAATGTTGAAGCCGGGGCTCTGGTGAGGTCAGTCCATGACACATTCATTTCCACTGTGTGCTTCTCTATGCATATATGTTTTTACTGCACTGGCAGTAACACCACCAACACCACTGGCTCCAAACCATGACAGAACCTCCATCTGACCTCTGTGCAGATTTTTACATTTTAGATTCGTCACATTGTAAGACCTGTTGCCTGGATTTGTTTCCTGTCTCTTAAGGACTTGACTTTTCAGAAACCGTTCACTGGATTTTTTTTTAAGCCTGTCACTTCTTCTTTTTGTCCTCCACTCATCCAGTTTCTGAGAGTTTTTTAAGGACACATTGCATACTATGCCAAAACACATCAAGTTTTCAACTAATAGCTCTTTTGTACTTTGTTGGTGCAAAATTGCTATTTTATGGTACTCATACTGCGTTATCTTTGGTGTTTGGTAAGAAATGGGAACAAATTACAGGCTGCTAGCAACAAAGTGCCTAAAAATACAATTTAAAATAAGTTCTTTGCTAAGTTGTCTGTTATGTGTAGACACAAAAACTGGTTCATCCCTTGTTTGATGCCTTTTTTTATGCTTGAGTGATTCACAGGTCAGCGTTAAGTGGCGTAACAAAGGAAAAAAACATTCCTCTGAAAATGGTCAGTTATAAGGATTTGATTAAAAAAAGAGTAAACAAACAGCTAGTGTCTAACAAAAAATGGAAAGACCTTCAGAAAGCCTGGACAACTATTGCTCAAGACCACTTTTAAAAAACACAAGAAGCTCTGGCTCCTTGAAAGCAAAATGTGAACATGGGTTTTTGGCATTGTGCCTACAGTATAAAGTATAACAATATGGGAATGGCCATTAAAATTGTATTTATTCTAGTTTTCTGTGTTGCTTCAGATGTGATTCACTTCTATTATCCACCATGATTTTTTGGGGAAAAGGCTCAGACTTGTTTATATGCATGACTGCTGTTTACCCTGGGGAATTGAGCCCTTTAAATCTGCAGCTGTGCAGAGTGACCAGAGTCAGGAATTTCAAATTTGTGCATTTTCCAGACGGTACAAATTGTTCTTGAATCTCAAAACAGAGGGAAACATTGACTCCGTGTTTCTGCTGCCAATCAAACCTTGTAAAAGATGACTTTGTCTAAGTGAGGGGAAAAAGAGAAGTCGGAGAAGCCACATTGACATCTTATTCTGCTGTTTTGTTTGACTAACAAAAAATAAGGACAAATATGTTTATGACCAATCAAGTGATTTTCATTTGACTTTTAACTTCCAGCAGCTGTTTCCTTACACGTCACGCCCAAGTTTTGTATGTTCGTATCTCCCCGAATCAAACTGCAAACTTAGCAAAGCGAGGCAAGCTATCAGCGATGCTGCTGAGTGCACAGCTTGCATACCATGCAGCGCTGTGATGTCATCCATCCGTAAAGTAGGAATTGGGTCATTCAAGGACAGCAAAACAAAGCTGCCAACAGGGAGAGTAAATACATTACAGCACACTTTAGTCCCCCAGAGCTCAACTGGCAATGTTGAATCTCTAAATCTGGACCAGGCCCAAATGGGAACAACAGCACACACAGCTCTTTGGAATGGCGAGAAAGACGGACAGCTGCATCGTGGGAGCCCGGACGGCACCTCGCAGACCTCCGCTGCCTGCTGTATGACCCGAGTGGGAACTGAGTGGGATCTGGTTCACTGTCCTCTGCCTGGCTGTGTGTGTGTGTGTGTGTTTGCGATTATGACTGAATTTTTCTGGGCAAGACATTCTAGGAAAAAACATCTATGAAGAAAACCACTTTTCCTCTCAGCTTACAGCGCTGCCATGCCAGTGCTCATTACCGCCTGACGGTGCGGCTGCAGGCATAGGTCATGCATTTATTTATTTGTTTTAAATTTGTGTTTAATATGTTGTGATTTGCAAGCAGTCAAAGGCAGCGGTGACCTCTAAGGACAAATGTCTGTCATCAGTGCTCTTATTAATATATTTACTCAGCAGGCATTTATTTGTGACTAATGGTGCCAGATATATATGAGTGATCGGGTTAACGCTGGCGTGGGTGTGGCTGGACTAATTGTGTCTCAAGAGCTTCAAGCGTCACGAGGATGCATGTCCCACCAGTATTTTGACACCTGGCATGATTAATCGCGTGCATTTCATTATGCATATGAACTTAAAAAAAGACACGCAAGAGGGCACAGAGTGTGGATTTGACGTGCAGGGACGCAGGAGGGGCAGTTGCTGCTGGTATCTGTGTCTCCGTGAAGCCTGGAGAGCAGAGCAGCCTATTGGCAGTGGAAGAATTGATGAAGCAGGGAGGAGACTGCGTCTTCCATCTGGGTCTGACAGTGAAGGCTGGAATGTCCCCAGCCCGAACAGCCTGCCTCTCTCTGCTGTCATGTGGACAACAACCCCCACACTAGGTAGCCTGAGGAGAGCTGTCATGTGGGCCAGCGAGGTCTAGTTAGTCCTCCTTATGTACGGTTGTTTTAAAAGGCACCCACACACACAGACCAAAACAAGTACTGTACATGCCTGCACTGTGTACACACTGTAAGCACATTTCCCACAAGAGGAGGCCGGGTAGGTGTCTGTTTTATGTTCTGTGTCCAGTGATTACTGTTGAAAACCTCTTCCTGCTTCTAAGTAGTTGATCATATCAGATAAGCATGAATGGAATTGTTTCAGCACTCCGGCTCTTATCCTCTGCTGCTGTGTCTGATTGCAGTCTATTACTGAACCAAATTTAGCTTATGCAGCTTCAGTCAAATGTAGAACGATCAAGCTCTGAAATTGTTTGGATTGTGTGCAGATAAAACCAGAATGCAATGATTTGAAAATCTCGAAAACTAGAAATAGAACGTAGAAAACAGGCCAAGTGTTTAAACTGAGAAACTGTACTGTTTTAAGACAAAATTTAGCTCATTTTGAATTTGATGGCAGCGACACACTTCCAAAAATCAGCCATGTTTACCACTGTTTAACATCCGGTCTGGCAACTGAGGGGACCAGCTGCTGGACTTCTGGGAGAGGAATGCTGTATGATACAGGATTCTCAATACTCCTGGGTCATCTTTGTCATATTTTTGTTTCATGATGCGTTAGATGTGTTTTCGGTTGGTGAATGGTCTGGACTGCTGGCTGGCCAGTTCAGCGCTGGGATTCATGCTGCTGTAACAGATGCAGTAGGCATTTTTAAAGGCCTTCGCTGAAATTGATGTCATCTGGATTGGAGCGTATGTTCTAAAAGCTGTAAATACCTTTCAGCACTGATGGTGCCTTAAATGTGCAAGCTGGCAGTTCCATAGACACTAATGCAACCTTATACAATCAAACCTGAGGGCTCGCTTTAGTCCAGAGGATCTTGCATGTGTTTGTCTTTAACCTCCATTTGTGGAGACAAAGATTTCTGGAAGTGTTCCTGAACCCATATAGTGATTTCCATGTCTGTTTTTAATGCAGTGGTAACTGAGAGTCCAAAGATCACAGGCATCCAGTGATGATTATTTTTAATATATTGTGTAGTGTAGATAATGAGATATTTGTAGTCTTTACAATTTCACATTGACGAACATTATTCTAAAATTATTCCACAATTTGTCGACACGTCTTTTTCCCCCAGATTGTGAAGCTCTGCTCATCTTTACTTCTGAGAAACTCTGGCTGTTTAAGATGCTCTTTTTATACTAAATCATGCTGCTGACCTGTTGCTAATTAACCTAATTATGTGCAAAAAGTTCCTCCAGCTGTTTCTTCTTAGTACCACTTGGCTCTCCACCCTTGCGTTGTCCCCGTTCCTGCTGTTTTGAGACGTGTTGCTGCCATCAAATTTAAAAAGTTCTTAAAATAGTGCATTTTCTCAGTTTAAACATTTGATATGTTTTCTTTGTTCTATTATGAATACAATATGGGTTTCTGAGATTCTTTTCCAGAGTGGTTGGTCCTATTTTAGTCGTTTTGGGCTGTTATTCATTTTGGTAATGTTAACACTACGCCACGTAAATGTAAGTGAAAGAATGGGGGAGCATTGAACAAAGCTAGTAAGAGCAGTCTGGCCAGAGTTTGTTCAGTGTTGCAGACACGTAAGCACGTCTGTATTTCAGCGTGTAAGCTGGGATTGCACGTTCAGTCATGATTTTGGAAGCAGTAATTGATAAAACAGTCTCACCATAATGTCTATTTGGTCACTGTTTTTAGAACTTTCAGTTGTATTATATGATAAAAACACTTTGGGGCTCCAGACCAGTTTCAACCCTAGTTATAATAAAGAAATTCTTTCCTTTCATTTTCTTCGTGGAAAAGATAAAAGTCTGTTTAGACTAGACTAAACACGCCAGTCTGCATTACATCATAAACAATCAAGTTTGACTGAGGCCCTTCTGTGTTTGAATGAGTCATGTTGAATGACAGTCACAGGTCATGGTCACTTCTCTGCCTGAAAAATAAATGACGGCGTGAATACACCTCCAGTATACTTTACCCCACACTGACAGGCATCTGGGATCATTAACGTGGTATTATTCTAGTGTGTCATTACGGTGCCGCTTGCTTTCGCTCTGACAGTGCGATGGCCTTGAGAGAAGTCGTAGCATGCTATTTTGTCTCCAGTGGTAAAGCTGGACCAAGCTAATGTTCTGATAATCTCATGTCTTCCAGCTGTTATCCCTCTGACCGACTCGGAGCACAAGCTGCTGGCACTCCATTTTGCCGTGGACCCCGGCAGGGATTGGGAGTGGGGGAGGGACGACAATGATAATGCCAAGCTAGCCAAGTAAGTCCTGTACAGTATATCACTCGGCGATCCTTATCGACAAGGCGCACGGCGTCACAAGGCGTGAGAGGGTAAAACCTGCAGGTCAGGTCAGGTCCTGCCTGTTCACCTGCAAGATGCTATGTGGAGGATTTAATTCAGATGCTTTAAAAGAATGAGAGCACTGGAAGAGCAAATTGTGAGGCTCCCGTAGGTAGAGCCTCACTGAAACAGCGAAAGCCTGAGCTGAAGAAAGAGTTTATGCAAGAAGTTTCTGTTTCACATTCCTGTCAGTCAGGGTGTCATTTTATCCTCCCAACAAGCTGTAGTGTGAACAAAGCAGAAAAGACTTTATATTGCCCTCAATACGTTGTGGGCGTTGTTTGCGCCGTGGTTCCACTTCTGCATTTGAACAATGAAACACGTTCGTGCAAGATGGCTCAAAGAGTTTGTCAGTATTTTCTACAAATGCTATAGCACACCCACATGTGCCACAAAATTTTGGTGAACATATGTCACAAATGTCACACACGTGTTGTAACCGCTGCTTGTTGTTAATTCATGTGTTTTTTTTCCCCTCCCTCTCCAGTCTCATCTTGTCTCTGGAGGCCAAACTAAACCTGCTGCACAACTACATGAATGTAACATGGATCCGAATTCCATCTGAAACAAGGGTAACCTTTTCTTCTTCTTCACACAAGTGTGTCTTGTTTGTCATGGTTAATTTAGCGCTATGCAGGGACTCTTCTATTCCAGATGTTCTGGAAGCCCCAGAGTCCAATCAGTCGGCTTTATTTACTCTCAGAAAGCAATAATCTTAGACATTTATGTGTTTACTGGCTATAAAAAAAATAGAAAACAGGCAATTATACATGTTTGATTTTTTCTTCTTTTTTGTTTGGAATTCATTGGGAATACATGAAAAGGAAAGTTTACCTCAAAATTAAAAATGCATATTTGGTCTGTAGTGCTGTTTATCCTTCCATGATTTGCTTAATTTTTGGAAAATCATCTGTAGATAAGTCTTTCTTCTGTTTAATAGAATGGAAGTAGAAGGCGCTTGCTTCGTGGTGCAAATGGTCATGGTAAAATAGAAGTGAAAAAATTCAGCAGCGGTGTTTCTTATCAGAAAACATGACCCAGATACATCAGGTCTAGTCTGGTAGAAGAAAAGGTAGTTACTACATGAAGGTGCTCACTATGAGCTACAAGGTCGGTCAAGCGACGCTGATATTTTTTTGCATGTTTTGAGCACCACAAGGCGAGTGCAGTCTAGGTGTCGTTCTGTTAGGCGAAAACTGGTCAACCCCACAATAATTCAGATGGACTCACTGAAAATATGTAGGTAAAGTTTTGCGGCAAGCTTTCCCCTTAAATCTTCATGGTGCTAATCCACAGGTGAAATTTGAACAACTGTTCAGTCGTGTGTGTTTGCGTGTCTTTGTGCAGGCTCCCCTTGCTCAGCCAGAGTCTCCCACAGCCTCCGCAGGTGAGGATGTCCAGTCTCTGGCCGAGTCCATGGACTCTGACCGCGAGTCTGTCGGCAGCAACTCTAACGTCAACACTGGCAAGCCAAGCAAGGAGAAGGATAAAGATAAGCAGCGAAAAGACAAAGACAAGAGCCGGGCCGACTCTGTAGCCAACAAACTAGGTAGCTTCAGCAAAACCCTTGGAATCAAGCTGAAGAAGAACATGGGAGGTCTGGGTGGCCTTGTTCATGGCAAAATGAACAAATCTAACTCTGGCTCAGGTCGCAGTGGGGAGAACGGAGGGGAAAAGGCAAAGAAAAAGGAGTCTAAGTCAACCAAGGGAAGCAAGGAGGACTCGGGCCAGTCTGCAAGCTCCACTTCTTCTGAGAAGGCCACTAGTCCTTCCCCTACGGACAGAGACAGACCCTCCAGCTCCTCGCCCACTGAGAGACAGGACAGTGCAGGTAAAGGCTCAGGGGACAAGACCCTGGAAAACTGGAAATACAGCACTGATGTCAAGCTCAGCCTCAACATCCTACGGGCTGCCATGCAGGGGGAGCGTAAGTTCATTTTTGCAGGACTCCTGCTCACCAGCCATCGACACCAGTTCCACGAAGAGATGATCAGCTACTACTTGACAAACGCCCAGGAGCGCTTCAGCCAGGAGCAGGACCAGAAAAGGAAGGAGGCCGAAAAGAAGCCCGCTGTCACCAATGAGGTAGCTGTCAAGAAGCCTGAGCATGAGAGTGTCTTCCAGAGGGAGAGATCAGACAGCTCACCTCCGGAGAGCTGCTCTCCCATCCTGCCTCACCACACACACCCCTATAACAACTCCCAGCCCCCGCTGGGTCTCAAGATGCAGGGCAGGAACAGTCCCACTCCCGCGGCGCCTCTTGCCTCTGTCCCGGCCCCTCCTCTCACCCCACCTCCAGCCTTGCACCATGTCTCGCACCCGGCCCCAACCCCTGCGCCTTACTCCTCCCCCAGTATTGGTGCTAAGAGACCTGGGCCTGTTCCTGTGTCTGCCCACTACAGCCATACACCTCCCATCCAGAGGCACAGCGTGATCCACTTACAAGATGTCAACATGCAATCCTCCATCTTCCAAGATGACCCCTACAAGCCTGTGGTGGGCACTCTAAAGACATGCGCCACCTACCCCCAGCAGAACCGCACACTTTCATCCCAGAGTTACAGCCCTGCTCGCCTGTCAGGGGTCCGCACTGTTAACACCATAGATTCGCTGTCCTACAATATGCCTGGTGAACACAAGTCCCACACCTACACCAATGGATTCGATGCGGGAGACATTCAGGACTGCCTTGAGTTTGCCGATGAGGACAACTCATCTCACACCTGGCTCAACCAAGATAAAACCAAAGGGCGGAGCTCTGGAAGCCCTTTGTACTGCTTTCAGCAGCGCCGCTGCAAGAGGGAGAACTGCTCCTTCTACGGTAGGCCAGAGACAGACAACTACTGCTCCTACTGCTACAGAGAGGAGGTGAAACGCAGGGAGAGGGAGAGCAAAATGCAGAGGCCTGTATAGCCATCACCGCTACTTCAGCTTGTCAACAAGTCTGCAGGAGACCTGAGGGAACAACACCATCTGCACTCTGCATTTAGAATAACATGATGGCAAACATTATCCTGTTTTGTTGAAGAATGCTTGTGTATTCCCGTCGCCCTTCCCTTGTTAGTAAAGGTTATTACTTTATGATGGGGGAAGCAGAACTTGAAACAGTGAGCAGCTTTGGCCAGATATTGTAGTTTTGTTTGACTTCTGTCTCATTCAATTTAGTCTTTTACTTGTTTTAGAGTAAAAGTCATCTCTGTGATGTAACTTTCTGTATGTGGAAAGGAAATTTCTTTATTTTTCAAAGTGCAGAACATTTGCATCTCGTCAGGAAGGAACATTTTATCTCTTTTAATCAGTTTGAATGCAATACCTCTGCTCGGTTCTTCAAAATCTCTGTGGAAAAAAAAAATTTGTAGTTGTTTTGCAATCAATATAAATCTAATGAGGGAATAATATTAGAATTTCAAGCAATAAATTGGTGATTCTTTTGCTACACCCTCTCTCAATTTTGTCTATGCACCAATAATATAGTTACTGTAGGTTAACTGTGTCTTGTACATTGTAAAAGATCGTCAGTGTGCTTTTGTAAACCAATTTGAACTACAGGAATTGAAATGTGTAAGCATTCTAGATTGTAATGTCGGATTAGGATGAAATGTAAAACTCTCATATGTGAAGTGTACCTTTGTTCTAGCCAAGTTGCAAAGGTTTGCCGTTTCGGAATTGGACTCAAACTATTGTGTAAGACATTGTTTCACATTTTTGCCCGTAGTCAACCTCCTAAAAGTCCACAAGCACTGCCAAACTGGCTTCTTAAAAGAAAAGAAAAAAGTACAGTTCAGATTTTCAAAATGTTTCTTTTTTTGTGCCAAACACTGAACAATGTGCATAGGATGATTTGCTTCTCAAATATGCAGTGCTTATGGTGTGTTTCTCTGAGTTGCTGTTGACTGCGCTACTTGGTAAATGTGTTAGATGAGAAGAACTGCGGGTAGTGAGAGCAGGTCGATGTGTGTTTGTCTGAAGTGTTTTTACATGTCCGTTGCCCCCGACACACACACACACACACACAACACAACACAATGTGCAATCATGCTACTAGCACTATGTGGTGACATGCAGTATAGATGTGTCACCGGTCCAGTGTGCGATTGTTCTTCTTCCATATCTAGAGGCCGTTAAAAAGAAGCACCTGCTGCTATGAGCACCACAAGCCTTTGTGATCATCAGTGCTTTAACCAATCAGAGGGGCTTTTCCAAAAAAAACAAAACCCAACAAAAAAAGAAACCCCAGGCCTCCAAGTGCTTTCTGCTCATTTGACATGACTACTGTAAAGACGCAGTGTTTGTGTTGCTGTTTGTTCTGGTGATGCTTGGATAATGTACCATGCTGTCCTTAACTTAGTGTGTCCTGGCCAAGGATGTCCACTGCTCTCTCAGTTTGCTTCTGTCTCTCTCCTGTACACACTGCAGTGTTGCTCCTCTTTGTTTCTATGTGACGACTAGTTCATGGACTCTCCACCATGTTTAGGACTGTAAGATATGATTTTGTATTTCTTTAAGAGTTTTACACTACTTTAAATTATTGATTTGCACATTAGGTACGAATGTAAATATGAGAAAAAGAATAGTTTATTGTTACAAATGTGGTGTGTCTGTGTTATTTTTGTTTAGCATCCAAAAAGTGATCGGGAGAAATCTGGACGGATAAATTACATTTTGAGACTTAAGAATATTTTTATTCACTGCTGCGTTCAAGTTTGGAGTCATGTGTGAGAATCTGCTCTACATGCAGTTAATGCTTGCTTTGTTTTTACCTTTTGGTCCTCTTTCTAGAGGCATAAAAGCAGGGGATGTTTGGTTTGGTTCCCTTTTATCATTTAAACTGTTCCAGATTTATCCTGCCATAATCACTGCTTAGAATTACCAAAACATCCCTAAACTGGTAGATGAGCATATTAGTGCTACAGTCCTAAGAAAACCTATGATTCACTTTTAGCAGCAATAATTTCTGTGTGATTTTATCAGTCTGTCACATCACTGTGGAAGAATTCTTTTCCAAATCTTCATTTCAAGGTTTGCTTCGAGGTTTGCATTTGTCAGGTTGAGTTTTTTCTTCAGCCATCCTGTTGCAGATTTACTGCTGTGCTTTGGGATCTTGCAAGTATTATGCTGGGGCATGCAACATCCTGTTGCACAATCCAGTTCTAGCCGCACTTTGGCTGTCAGACAGAAGGCCTTACATTAAACTCTTGAATACTTTGGTACATAGAGGAGTTTGTGGTCAACTTAGTGACTGCCCGAGTCCTGTGACTGCAAAAACGAGTTCAAACCATCACCCATCCTCCACCGTGCTTGACAGATGATGTGAGGTTTTCGTGCCAATACGCTGTCTTTGCCAAACATCTCTGCTTTGGTCTCCTCTCTAAAGCGTAACTTTCCAGAAGGTATTTTTAAAGCTCTTTAGCAACTACTCAATACAAGTCATACTTGTTCAGTCTTTTTCTGATTATACTGTTTAACGTGCTAATGAAGGCCTGTAGAGTCAGAGGTGTTTTTTTGTTGTTTCTCTGAGCATTGCGCTCTCTGAATTTCTCGGGACATCCACTCCCAGGACGCCATGCAACTGTCTTGAATGTTTTCTACTTGTGAATACTCTTTCTCAGTGAAAAATGATGGACTTCAGCTAGTTTGCTCTTATAACCTTTCCCAGACCGATGGGCAGAAACGAATGCTTCTTTGAGATCGTTGTTCTTTCTTCCTCTCCATTGCGTTAACTCGCACCTAAATGCTCCCGACCAACAAACTGCCAAACCTTTAGCGCTTATAGAGGTGCTCACACTTACTGATGCTTAGTTAATCAAATACATTTGTTTAGCAGCACATGACTTCTACTTTTACCCTCTGAATTCCTATGGAAGCAGCAAGGATGCACTTAGTTTTTCAAAAGCCTTTTTTCACATAAGAATTGCACTTGACCGACTGAAGATACGATATATCAGTTTTCCAAATAAAGGTGAGTTAAACAGTTTCTCAATTACAGATTAACTGATGAGAGAGGGAGATATAGGACACAAAGTATCCTACACTGAACAGTTCAGTTCACTTTTGTCAGAGCTGACCAGTGATATTATATGTGGGTTTTATGTCTCAATATTAGATATAATTTAGATAATACTTTAAAGTAACTGCGCAGAATTTGTATCTGAAGGTTTCACCTTGGCAAGTGGGGAGACTTGATTTCTACAAGAACAAGAGTAAAATATTATTATTAAATATATTGTAGCTCAAGATGAGAACCAAAGGAATTTGATCAGGTTCATCTTTAATAAGCTACTCATAGTTTATAAATGTAGAACACTGACCTATTAAATAAGTATGCTAGTTGCCTTATCGGCACTAAAATTCAAATTTGTCAACATCCACTTCACCAATAAAGTCTTTACCTGACATGAGAATGTGCCCTTTAACTTTATGAACTTTATGATGACAAATAAACACTGGCAAAAACATTTTAAAAGAATTCTCATAACATTTGTCCTGAAATATCCTTACTGTTGGTTGATAATGTGGGTCAGACTCCTCGGTCTTTTCTGACATTTTCCACAATACAACTCGGCAGTCTCGCCTATTTTTAAACAAAGGCATCTTTTTTCCCATAAACAGGTCGTGAATCATGAGTCAGCGTTTTTTGAATGAGTCAATCCAAACACAACGAGGGGAAAATTCCCACCGAAATCAGGGTTATGGAGTTGGGATTCTTGAGTGAACTCTAAAATAGGTCAGCATTTGAGGCTCGGAGCTGTAATCCCCCCCCCGGAGACACGCCTGCACTGGCAAGAGGATTGACACCCAGCAACTGAAGAGGATGGCACAAAACAGCGAAAAAAATCTCCAAGCGCATTCTTGAGAAGTGCCCCCCCGCCTTCAGTGATTAAATCCAATGAGGGCTTTCTGCACGTGAGCCATAAGTCATATATCAAGATTAGCAACATCAAACACCACACACACAAAATGACTCAAAGGATATTCAAAGAGATTTACTTGTCATCACAGCAATGTAGGGATGAAGTTAATTACAGCTCAATTTAATCTTTACATGCACGGAGCAGGAGGTGCTTGTGAGAATAGTGAAGTAAGAAAGATTTCATTCCAGTGCATTAAGAAGCTGTTACCAATTAACAAGAGCTCATTTCACACAGAGAGCCAGTGTTTGAGTTCAGTTTCTTCCACTGCTGTCCAACGCTTGTGTCAGAAAAACCTCAAAGCAACACGTATGACCTTAGAGCTGTACTCTTAGTCTTTAAAATTAAACCATAATGCAACCGCGAGACAGCAGAGAAACAAATGCCTGTCAGAGTGACTTGAAGTGCAAACAAATCAGTGCCTGCAGTTTTTCACAGACTTATGAAATACACTAAAAATGTTAAATATAAAACCCTTGTTTTCCTATAATGAGGCAAAACCGGGCTTTTACAATGTGCACAGTCTGTACAGTAGCAGCAGGCTGGAGTTGGTGGTGAGGGTGGGCAGCAGTCCTCTAATGTGTGGGATGAACTGCATACTTCTGAGTGTATAGTCTCGTGACTGAGTCGATGATGAAGTGGGATGGATTTACCTCTCCAGCTTTTGCTCTGTGGTTTTTGACTGTGGCTGCTAATAATGTGAAATGAATATGAATATGAAAGGACTTTTTCAGGTCTTTAAGATGAATTACATCTCCACGTGATGCCCAGTGTTAGTCACACAATGACACACAGGGGCCTCTGTCATCACAGCAGTTATACCCCAAGCTCTTGAATTATGAGCAAGTACTGAATAAGACAGAGGGCATTGTCTTCTTTCTTGGATAAAATCTTCTCAGAATGTCCTTGGAGAGACCCCCCTGTTGGTTTTCAAAAGTGACAAAGAGCTCTATCAGGCATACAGCAGGATTTTGGCAGGCCTGCTTTTTCTCTCGAAACTGCACAGCCTCCATGTTGTCAGATTCACTCAGCTCATTTCTAACTGCGATTCATGCTAAAAAAAACACCCCGACGCATCGGTTTCTTTCCTCAGTATAATTAGAGCCCATTACAGACCTTAAAGGAACACAATAGTCCATAAATATTGATTTTTGTTGGGTAAGCAGTTGTCTCATTATGATGGTGAAATGAAAATGTGGGACAAATATGCATATCCATGGGCGTGCAATTTGAGTGTTTAAATCCTCTCTGCACACTTCTCTTCAAGTTTGGAAGCACCTCGCAGTATTTTCAGGTCTGTTTCAAAGAGGGGCTGCTGCCTTTGATGTCTCTGCTGCAGTGAGTTGTATGCCCCACACAGCACCACCCCCTCCCCAAAGCTAAGCCTTGTTCTCAGCCAGTGCCAGCCTCCAATATCTGAGCTCATCCCACCCGCTCTCCGCAAGAACTAGCGCCAGCCCTGCCATGCACTGCACTTGAGAGTGGGTGGCATCACATGGCCCTTCAGGCTGCCTTCTGGGGTTTGGCATGTAGGAAGACACACACACACACACACACATGGCTACTATGTGATTAGGCCCGCTGCTGCTGTTGCTGCTGACTGCATCTCTTCCTCTTTTTTTTTCTGTGGAGTAATTTTATAGATTCTCAAAGTCAGTGATGCCCACACACCTCAGTGGAGCATAGACCCTTTTCCAGCCTGCAGTGCCTCCCACGCCGTAGACTTTGAGTGTTTCTAAGCGCCAATCAGCGCTGGGTAGCACCACCAAAACCGCCCCCTCATCCTTGTGTTCCTTCTCTCTCACACACTGTCCTGCACTTTCACTGAGCAACCGCGGTGAAAATAACTCGCGGATGGCACAAAAGCAAAGTTTGCTCAGCAAGCAGGATTTCATCTGGAAACCTGATGCTCTAGAGCAGATAATCCAAAGAAAAGGTGCGACTAAAATGATAAATCAGTCAAAGCGAAACCAACTCCTCCACCCCCACATCCTGTCTGCAAGGTAACAGCAGCAGATATGTGCTCCTGCTACTCATTTAGCTGTCTATACTTTGCCCTGCATCTGTAGCAAAATAACACACTAAGAAGTAGACAACGTTTCATCTTGAGAGCAAACACGTGATTGAGCGACACGGAATACGTGCCTTACCCAAGCCGTCACCTGAGATGTTCTTGTAACACAGAGATATGTGTGAATTAACTCAGTTACTAGTTGCCATTGCGTCTTCAACTGTTGCATTAGCAGGACTTTTGCAACAATGTGGAAAGATGCAGGATTTGTGTAGGAGCTCAGTTTTCCTTGACAGTAGTTCCCTGCCTTTATTCAATGCTTAAAACAATCCAAAGAAGAAAAAAAGGGAGAGAGTTTAATATAAACACATGATGTTGAACTATGCAGAAGGCCTTCATGTTGCCAGACAAACAGGCTTTGAAAAAAAAAGCAACATGCAGGCTGTGATGCCCCATCACTGCGCGGTGGTGCCAGGGGTGGCAGCTTGTCTGCTTGCGTAGCGTGGTGTGCTGGTAGCTCCAACCTGCTCGGAGACGGGAGGAGTACAGCATGAGCAGGGAGAACACCATGCTCCTCATCAAGAATTTTAATGCCTGCGTTCTTCCTCTTCCTTCCTGTCTCACTCAGCACGATTCAGTATGAGCAGGAAAGGCCACGCCTGTGATCTCTGCTGATGTTGTTTGGCAAACTTAGCTTAAGAGTGGGATAAAGAGATGTTGGCAGGGTTTTTGCAGAACAGTAAAATGCAGAAGGTTGGAGGCAGTCTGCTTTCTCTGTGTCATGTGGTGTTTAAAGTACACCAGGAAGATTGTCCATTCTTGTAAGTGCACTGTGTGAATGCGTGTGTGCAGGAAACTTCACACGGTTCACAATCTATTTGGTCTGAAACACAATAAGGAAGGAAGGAGTCCCCAGCTTTCGATGCCCCACCCACTGTTGATACCCCAGCAGTTACAGTAAATATTTGCATGGGTGAAATGAGGGAACAAGGTGTACTTCCTGTTATAAGAATAATACTGAAGTGCATGACAGGCTGGTGAGAAAAAAAAAGCTTTGTACAGTTCTGTGCCGTTAGCAGTACTTTACAATTTTAAATAAGGGATTTTGCCAATATGAAAATGAGGAATGTGTTTCTGGAAAAGAAAAAGACATTCTCCCTTCAGTAAATAAAACTGAGTTCAACTTATAAGCAGTGAAGCGCTCACTTCAGCTTGTGGCTAATCTTGGATAATAGTTGCTTATCTAGTTCTCTGATATATCTATACCTAGACTAGGAATGACAAGCGTATAATTTAATGCATTATTAGCTGGAGGGGTGAATTATATTACCTTTACACAATGCTAGACTTCCTATTATAGCATTGTGCAGGCCTGCAGGTCTAGTCCTGTCAGCCTGCAGGTGTGAAAAACAAAGAAAATACCGAGGTGCCAAAAACTGCACTTTCTGAAATGGCCACTTGAGTCTGGCACCAAAACCAAGTCAATCACGAAGTAAGAAGACCTGAGCTCATTTGAAGCCACTAAACCAAACCTTTTGATTGTGTCTGTGGTGTTAATGTAATTACCTGACTGATAAAAAAAAGTTAATTGCCCTAACAATGTTCCATCCATTTCTTCCCCCTATCCAATTCAGGGTTCTGAGGAGATTTAAAGCCTTTCCCTGCTGTCTAATGTTTGTTTTATGGGACTGCATTTGGGTAGGCATTTGCCTACACAGAGTCTACGCAAAGTGGTATGCAACCAACACAAATGCACTTGTGTGGAGTCCTTCAAGGTACCAACAGCCTGTTGAACAAGCTGGATGACGCTATGCGTAGGTTGAACGCTGGTTGGTTGAATGAAATGGAAAACGCACGAAGAAAAGCTCAAAGACATTTTAAAAAATGTGGCATGAAAAACAAATTTAAGCTCTTTTCATATTATCACTTTGCTCTTTTCTGTAGCTAACCACAACTAACAACAGCCCAAGCAGTAGTGGCCCACAAGCTAACTGTTTGTGACGCTGCATCCTGGAGTGCTGTGCGATACTGCAAATTTTGGTATCAATCCGATACCTAATAAATAATGGTCCAGAATTTTTTATATTTGTAAATTTTAAATTACGATTTTTTTTATCCCCCCCCCCCCCAAAAAAAAAAAGATGGACTACATACTGAACCAAGAAAAACAAAGAATTGAACCGATCACGCTACTAGCTACTAGCTGTCATTTCGTTTTGCCAGCAACATGTTACTACTTAGCATTCCACCCTCGTGTCTAAATATGGTTATACTTCTTTCTCCAAAACATCCAAGACACTAGTTGCTA